TATGCAGTATTTCCCAAATAGAAAGAAGCAAATATGGATTAGTGGTAAAGAGTAAAAACGCGAATTGTGATTGACTATTCATGACCTGTATTTTCTCTGCTCCCACTTAATTCAGGCCTTCTTGTCTGGGTGACAGTCGCCAGGAAATAACGCCAAAGTATCACACTGAACCAAATAAAATAACAACGTATTAATATCTTTTTACTCCCTTTTTATTTTATTGAACATACAAATGTGCAGCCAACATTCATTAAGGGGTGTCGCGGCCATTCAAAGGCTGCCTGGGAAAACGGGCGGCGGTAGTGGAACGGTTCGAATTCGGGACTCCCAGGTCACAAGCTGGTGACCCAACCACGTGGTCACCATCGCCGCCTCAGAAGGAAACTGTTTTAATGTCACAGGAGAGGTGGTGCTGCGGTGTTTGAAGATGTTACAAACTCCGCACGAGTTGAAGGTGTGATATATTCTCAAGTCGCGTAAAGCGCACCTAATTTCGACAAGATAAACCCGAATGTAATCTCCAAAATGACTCGTTCTGGTCCGACCGGATTATTTCACACCCATCTGAGGCCAGACTGTGTGCTAAGCAAAATAATGGTACAATAATCTTTATAAAAAAGGAGAAACGTTCCATGATTGGCTTATGGGCCGAATACTGTCAGGTTGTCCAAGCCAAGACAGGTGAATTTTCTTCAGGAATTCACAACCGGAGCCTTCGGCTAGCCAAAGCCTGACCCGTAAGGCAGCGACGCGGTGTGTGAAAACCGCCATCCATTGGCGGTCGGTGTCCAGTTCATCAGACCATACGCCGTTAGGACGAGATCAAACGTCCAAGGTGCTCAATACACCTTGATGCCCATTGGAGCCGGTGACCAATACCACAACGAGGAAGTTGTGTGTGTGTGATTCGTACTCCTCCTCTTGGTTGGTTTAGAATTGGGGTTCTTGATGAACTCTCCTAGGTGAACTACCAGTGGTTCACCGACTCGGTTATAGCCCCGGATGTCGGCTATTCGTCCTCTCACATTGGTGGGAAAATACCTTCACCACGAGAAGGCAATGAGTAGGGCTTCCTCATCAGATGCTATTAGAGACGTATGAAGGCGTTTTGTGAAGTGTAGGAGAAGGGCGACGAGCCGCAACCCTAGACACCCAGCCCCAACCATACTGAGGTTTTCGATCGTAGCCGAAGCGCAATCGGCCATCCTACGCTCGTTCTGTACGGTTTGAATGAGACTGTTGAGCAACGCGTAGCGAATTGCGAACCCCTAGAACATGAAACTATATATTTATCCGTAATGCGTACGCGGTACTGTTTATTTTAGTTGAGTAAGCCAAAGAACAACGCACATGAACAGTGCGACCCAGTCACCATTCGACCAACAAGGATCCAAGAGCATGAGGAAAGACCTGCTGGGTTAAGCAAAGGATTCTGTTCAATAAATGTGAACAGACAAGATAGTTTCAAACAGATCGATAACGATCTGCTTTCCCGAGACATAACAGAGCCAGCAATCGAATTCAGTTATGCACTCACCAAGGGCAAGACAACGAATAAGCTCACTGGATTAACAACAAGTGCAAATAGGGATCGGACTAATGAAATGATATAGCCACGTCAGTGAGGATGCCAGTCATTGGTCTGACGATAGTGACACGGGTCGGAGCCATGGCTAGACAGGCAAGGTCAAGGGACACGAATAACAATCAACAGACTATGACTGTCACGAGGGGTCACGTGATAAAACGGGGAGGGGTCGATAAAGGAAATGACTAGCGAATGCGAATCCACAAACCGAGAGGACCAAAAATGGTATCGCGTTATGACCGGGAGAAGTGGACGATAATTGGGAGAGGAAAAGTGATTTTGACAGTTCTGACAGTTTATTTTGTAGATAACATTATGCTTGTCTTTCTGTATTGTTTCTCTTTATGTTGGAAGAACTCTCCGTAAACAGGTGGTGTCGGTTCGTGGGCTATTTGGATTCCGTCTTACAATCATTTCTGAAATGTTTTTGATGTACGATAGTGTTGTTCTTGTTCCCAATTCTCTGTCTGTTATTTGTTTCCTTCTGGTTGAACTGAAGATTGTATGTAAAGCTGACGGCTGAACCATGATCAGTCAAAATTGAAAAAAATAACGATTTTTCTCATTCTCCACATCACAACATTGTCAGTACCAGGTAGGACGGATCACTTAGAACCTGTCATGTTATGCATGGATCCGTGTCACTCCATAAGTGCGTTCGTGACGCCCAAAGGCGATTCAATTCCGCATTGGATGACTAAGGCGAATCAGATAGCTGCCGTCCGATCGACCAATCGTAGTGTCAAGGACGCGATCTGATTGGTGCCTCACTACGTCGCTTTTCGCACGGTCAATTCATCACTTATATTTGCGCATCATGTTATGATCAATAATACGACGCTCCGACTGTCGTTTCTCCAGCGGTGTTCTCTTTCCGTATCGTTGTTGGGGCCTAGTGAAGAGGCGCTCATATCGATCATACGTTTAGGCTGAACATAACAGTACCAGACACGTGGCCTTGTACACTATTA